CATTTATACATGGAGATAAATAAAGATACATATAACATACAGATGGATGCACTATATATACATCTATGTAGTACCAAATTAGTATGCTCACATATGCTATTGATACAGCATGTAACGAAAGTATCACTGCAAATCTGTATCTGATCACACAGCTGACAACTCACCTGTAGAGTCGCAATGCGTTCCTCAAAGTCAGCGATTTGCGCATTGAAGCCTTCCCTCTCAGCCCTGGCCTCTCTCTCGCCCCTTTGCCGATCCCTTCGCGCTTTTTTCACCTGGTCCTGAAGCAGTCAAGCTTGGTCAGGATGTTTTGAACGGAATCAAACTTTTGCTTTGCATCTGCCTTGTGTTTTGTCCCCATCACACCTCCACTCTTTTTCTCTTACCTCTTGCCCCTTTCTCATTCCCTTTTTCCACACTGTCTTTCACTCTCTCTCCTCCTGTATCTTTCTCTCTCTCTATTTCTTTTTTCTCTCTTTCTCCCTCTCAGCTTTTCTCTTTGCCCCACTCTCTTCCCTCTCTTCATCTCCCTTACATACCATACCTCTAGCTCTTTGATCTCCTCATCCTTTCTTCCTATCTCTAGCATCAGGTCTCCCTTCTCCCTCTTCAGGTCGTTTGCCTCGTCCTCCTTATTGTTGTAAGCTGTGTTCGTGTTCCACATCTTAGCCTCGCACTCAGTCTGTGGAGGAGACGATGCACATCAGGAATGCTTCTCTGCTAAGGGAACCAGATACCCGAGAACAGTATCCCTCTCTCTGTGCATGTACCTCTAGTTGTTTGATTTCTGCTTCCTTTTTCTTCAGTTTCTCTTTGATGTCTCTATTTTCCTTCTGCAGGTTGGCTGCCTCTGCTTCTTTCGAGTCGTACTTCTTCTGCTGGTTGGCCACCTCCGCCACTTTCGAGTCGTACTTCTTCTGCAGGTTGGCCACCTCCGCCACTTTCGAGTCGTACTTCTTCTGCAGGTTGGCCGCCTCCGCCTCTTTCAAATCATACTTCTTCTGCAGGTTGGCCGCTTCCACCGCTTTCAAGAAGTACTTCTTCTGCAGGTTGGCCGCCTCCGCCTCTTTCGAGTCGTACTTCTTCGTCTCCTTCTCCTTCTCCTCGAGTTTGTTCTGAAAAAGTTTCAGAAATGTGCCTTGTCATATTTTCCTACTTATCTTCCCACTCCCATGTTCTCCCTGGCTTCCCTGCCATTATTCACCTCTCTATTTTCTTTTCTCATTTTTTCCTTACTTCTTGATTCTCTTCTCTCTTCTCTCCCCTCCGCTCTCTCTCTGCTTCTTGTACGTACCTTTATCAATTTGATTTCCTTTTCCTTTTCCTCTAGGTCCTTCTTGAATTTTCCGTTTTCCTTCTGCAGGTCGGCCGCCTCCGCCACTTTCGAGTTGTACTTCTTCTGCAGGTAGGCCGCCTCCGACACTTTCAAGTCGTACTTCTTCTGCAGGTTGGCCGCCTCCGCCTCTTTCGAGTCATACTTCTTCTGCAGGTAGGCCGCCTCTGACACTTTCAAGTCGTACTTCTTCTGCAGGTTGGCCGCCTCCGCCTCTTTCGAGTCATACTTCCTCTGCAGGTTGGCCGCCACCGCCACTTTCGAGTCGTACTTCTTCTGCAGGTTGGCCACCTCCGCCACTTTCGAGTCGTACTTCTCCTTCGCCTCCTTCTCCTGCTCCTCGAAAAGCGGGTCAGAGTGATCAGTTATTCGTAATCTACACAATATAATTCACCTTTAATTTTTATTATTGTATTTTATTTCATGATCTTTCTCTCTCTCTCTCTCTTTTACTTTTTTGAGTGCTCTGCATATCCTCACATGACTGACCTGCATCTTCCTCCTCTCCTTCTCCTCCGCAGCACTTTCCTTCGCCTGAAAAGTAACTTGGTTTAGTTGACTATATATAAAGTATCAAATAATTTAAAAGGAGCATTAGTTTCAGTTCTCGACTAATAAACAACACTGAGGGCAGCCAGCGACCACGGTGCCCAGCCTGACACCAGCAGTGGGGCACAAAGCATGGCAGTGAAAACAAAGACCATGGCGGCTTTCCTTACCATGGAGAAGGTTCTGCCAGCAGACGTTGTCCCCAACAGGTTCTGCGGAGTCTTCCTGGCCTTATTCTTCATGCTGGTGGACGCCCCAAGGCCAATCAGGGTGCCCACCGCCAGGAGCTTCCCACTTGAAGCTGCGTCATGGAGAGGCGTGTTGCCCAATTTGTCAACGGGGTCCACGTCGGCCCCGCTCGCCGCGAGAGCTTCCAGTGTCCCCCATTGTCCACGGCGTGCTGCGATGTGCATTGGTGTTGACCCTGTAAGTGGAAGAGTTGAAGAGGCGATTAGTGCCTTGACATTAATGATAATGTTGATAATATAATAATAAGAACAGCAATGATGATAAGGAGAATGATAATAATTGTAGAAATATATAGATAATAACGTCATTAATAATGATAATGCGAATAATAATAATAACACTAATAATGATAACTTCTATCATGCTAAT